CCCACGCTCAAGCTCTTCCGCCCAGCCATTCAAGATCAGCAGCGAAACTCCGGCCGGCGGCATGTTTTTCCTTAAAAAGTCCGCTTGCCTGCCTCGGGCTTGTCCACTGCTGCTCTGCCCTAGCTTTCGTCCCAGACCCTCCTCCAGTTGACCGGGAGCCCGAAACCCGAAGCCTCAGCTCTAAACCAAGACCCTGACTCGAGCCCGGGCTCTGGTTCTTGGTTTTTCTTTTGCTTTTTTCATGTCCGTGGTCTAATAGGGTTTCGCAAGTCGCCATCTGCGGACGTGTAGTGTGTGTGACAGGGTACGTACTGCACAGTCGAAAGCCGTAGGTATCATCCGTATTGGTCAGAAACTGAACCGGCTCAACGTCCTCCTCCAGACTTCTTGCTGAACATCAGCTCTAAGCCTAAACCTCCAGGTGCTTACTTTAAAGGGCCCCAGGAGCTCTAGTACCCTATATAGTAGGTACCAGGGGGTTAGGGCTGTGCGCTACACCATCGGGTCGAACCAGGCCGCTCAGCGCTCTCTCGCAGTCCTGCAACTGCGTTGAGAGCAATATCGGGGCCTTAGTAATTAGTATGGGGTTGTGGGGCCGATTGTACTGTACTTATACTAAGGAGCCCTTAAAAAAAGTATTGGTAACTACTTGGGCCCCTAAAATAGCCTAATTGTTCATCATCATCATCATCATCATCATCGTCATCACCAGTGTCATTATCACAAGCATGACTGTCGCAGCGACCATGTCCATGATGCACGCCAAACAGCACTGTGAACAGAAAAGGGTGTCGCAAAGTTCTTTGAGGACCCACGCGTTAATATCCTTGTCTAACTAGGATTAACTAGGGTTTCCCTCCTCTGAACCCTAATCCGCAAACCCTAAACCTGAGACCTGAATTTTATGCTGGTGCGGGAGTCTGGCCAAACCTCAACTTCAACCACGAGGCCTTACAAGGCCCCACGCCTCAATCGGCTCAGCAAACCCTGTGTTTCGGGGCAAGCCCGACCCCGGATTGCAAGTCATGCATTTCATCGTAAAAGGATTGAATTTTCTATAACTATTATAGAAATATACTATAACCATATACCCTCAAACCTTTATTCTAACTTCTAAGACTCCTGGATTGAATCCCACGCCTGTTTTGTCTGATTCGAATGTTAGGGCCCCTAGATTTGTATGCTCCAACTCTTCGAACCCCTGCCTACATGGGTGGTTGTCAAAATTATGGTCCCTTTTTGGGTCCCTAATATAATACGGCACCTAATATTTAGGGTACCCAGAAAGGGACCCTAATTTTGACAACCACCTACATGTTAGTCATGTTAAGGTTCCCCAAAATCCCTCTAAGGGTCCTAGACTTGTGTTTCGGACATCTCCAGATGAGGCTTCCGCCGCTTCGTCAAAGGCTCTCGCCGCCCCGGCACCACGATGCGAGACGAGGCGTGTAAGATAGGGTGGGAATGATCATGAATACACTATTCCTAAGGCTCCGTTTTCTCAACAAGTTTACCCATGTTTACCCCAAAACCCTGTTCTAATTATTGAGTCCCCTATAGTAGGGTTTAGCTTATTGGGTTCGACGGGTTGCATCCCAGCCAGTTCGTCATAATCGTCATGTGTAGGGTTGCCGATAAGATTGATAGGATTTCAGTTGAAGCTATCGGGCTTCAAGCAGAGGGCTGTTGCTTTATCCATCAGATGGCCGTGCCGAGTTTCGGACGACACCGAGCATGATGAACATGAGGGCCGCGGTGGCAGTGGTGGTCACACACGGAGGAGGAGCAGGAGGAGGAGGAGGGGGAGGAGTAATACGAGGACAGCATTGTTGACGATAAAGGTGAATGTGCACGAGCAGATGATGATGCTTATGATGATCGTGGTGGTCGTGGCCGTGAGACGGTGATGAACATGAGAAGGAGAACGTCTAGGATGATGCTGATGATGAAGATGATGATGAGGATGAGGATGAGGATGAGGATGAGGATGAGGCTGAGGCTGAGGCTGAGGCTGAGGCTGAGGCTGAGGCTGAGGCTGAGGCTGAGGCTGAGGCTGAGGCTGAGGCTGAGGATGAGGATGAGGATGAGGATGATGATTATGATGATGCATGTGAACATGATTTTGTTGATGATGATGAATGCGATGACAGCGGTCCTGAAGATAGTGCTTTTATTTTTCTTGTTGTCCCAACCAGCTCCTGCTGCCGATTGCGACTGGGGCAGCAGGCCGTAAGATGATGCAATGGTTTAGGACAAACGGAGGATGCCCGGATCACGACTAAGTGCATGACAAAGCCGGCGATGCTGGAGGGTAGGAGATAAAACGGTACTGATGGTGGATCTTGTGGCAATGGAATGATGGTTCTGATGTTGCAGACTAGTTGGTGAGCGAAAGCTGCAATGACGGCGATACTGATGCTGATGCTTCAGCGATGCAAAGGAGGATGGAGCAAAAGGCAAAAAACAGCAGAAAGAAACAAAAGGGGGAGCAACAGGTGAACCAGTCTGGCCGCCTGAAAACCGCGACCTAAACCTTCTTATCACCGTAAATTTGGAGCCACAAGAATTCGAATAGGGTTTGGGTTTGGGGGGTATATCATACTATAACTATTATAAAGAAGAACCCCCCAAAACCCTATTCTAATCATTAAGGCTCCTACATTTACGCCTTATCAGCATCCCTAAACCCTACGCGATCTGAGTCTGGTACCACCCCCCAAAAAAACCGTCAGGAGGGCGACGACGCCTCTCCTCCACTGCAGGCTCCCGGAATGCTGAGGGTGGCTGGGTGAACACAGGCGTACATACATAATATAGGGGCATTAACTTCAGAGTTACCTATACTATTCTGGGGGTTTATAACTATAGTATACTATGCCCCAAAACCCTATTCGAACTCTTAAGGCCCCTACATTCCGTACCGGGCGTACCGCTAGTTTCGGTTTGTTTGGTTGTTCGAAGACTCCGGTCAGTCCGGAGGGGTCACCAGACCGGGTAGCTCAGCACAGAATGATTCCCTGCCCTTTGCAATCAGCTCAGCAGTAGGAAACTCATACGTTCTGACCTGTGATGACAGTTCTTCATGACGTCTTCTTCTTGCCTGTAAGTGGAGCTTCAACAGTTAAACCTCGGCAACCTGACTTTGGGGTTCTGTGTTTTAACAACCGTTTTACTTCATTGCTACTTGCGGTGCATGTGTTCGGGGTCTTCACGTACATCATGAAGGGGCCTACTCTCTTTATGGCTTTCTTTATGCTTCTTTCATTCCCGAAAGCCTTAAACCCTTAAAACCTATACACCCCAAATCCCCGGAGCAACCGAAGATCTGTCAACAGGAACTCTCGCTTCTCACGCCGGCAGCGTTGTGCCCGGGCCCCAGCCGGTCGCAAGGTTTAGTGGTGAGGAATTAACGTGTTTAGGGGTTTAAGGAGTAGTGGTTTAGGGTTTTAAGGACTAGTGGTTTAGGGGTTTAGGTGTTCTGATGTAAAATCCTGGCTCGTGCACGAATCTAGAAGCTGGAATATTTTCCCCACATTATTCCAGAGGGCTCCTTCTTACAAGTATACTGCAGCATTCCCCATTAGTTATGGCCCCTGTGTAGTAAGCCCTCAGCGTTAAACCGGAAAGGGCCAGACTTCGCCCCAACTAAACCGTCTAGGACCCCAAGCCCAATCAATTTGGATTTGAGGGTTCAGGGCTTCGCGTGACCGGACGGTGATGGACTTTATGTCTTTTAGGAGTTTAGGGTTCTGATGAACCGTAACTGACTGGTTGTCGGTGAAGGGTTTAGGGCTTAGGGTTTAGGTGTGTTCAAGTGCTCTGTGTTTCAGTGATTCAGGGTTGAAGTGCGCAGTCGGGGTGCTAAAGGCAATCAGTTGAGCTCTGCTTTGCGTACACGGCACTTTAATTTAACTTTAAACTTCGATAACACATACTCTGGCCTTTCCGGGGTTCTTATAGACTCAGCTTCAAATCAACCCCTGCTGCATTATAGCCCACTGGTGTGGGTTCGGGGTTTAGTGTTTAGGGTATACCTTCCCATTGCCCAGGCAATGCTGTCTTCAGCCAACGAGCGAGCCGGCGTCTACGCCTTGTCGTGGGCCCGGAACTGTGTTTCATTGGGAGCGTTAGGGGCTGTAATTTGGGCCTGGGGAAAGTTAGGGCGTTGTGTGCGGTTGATTGAAGAGGAGACAAGCTGCGATCCTGCGTGCCAGGGCGGCTTCCAGCATACTGGGGCTGTATAAGAAGCCCTGCTCAGCTTGAGAACCTTCTTCGCCTGCCGTGAGTGGTTGAGTGAGTGCTTGAATGAATGAGCGAGTGCATGAGAAGAACGAGATAGAGGGTATGCTTTAAACACTGCTGAATCCGTCCACACCCATGAAGCAGAATCCCCAGTAGTCAGCACTGCATTGTTTGTTGCGGCTTCACTTTGTCTATACTTCCTTGTCTGTCTTTCTCCGTGTTCCTCTGTCTTTCTCTCTGTCTATCTCTCTCTCTCTCTCTCTCTCTCCCTCTCTCTCTCACACAGTTGAAACATCAGAACCCTGCAAGGCACCCTAAATCTTGAATCGTAGCTGAAATCCTAAATCCTCTAAGCCCTAAGAAAGCCCTAATCCCTGTAAGCCAGAACCCGCAGTCCGAGCCTTCTAAATCCTATAAATGTTACAAGCCACAAGCACACCCCAACCTGGAATCCTACAAGTGCGCCTTAAGCCGTAAGCCTCAAACCCACGATAGAAACGCAACGTCTATCAAGCCCTATTGTGAGTCGGTAAGGCCCCTGCATAAACCCTGACGGCGGCGCGAAAATCCACTATCACCCCTTTTCTCCCTGAATAAATTCAGAACTTCAGCCTTTAAGACTCGAGAAAATCCAAGAGAGCCGTTACCACACCGTCGTAAGCCACCTGATTAATATACCACCCCACAAGGACCCTCGAAGCCCTGACAGCCGTCGGCAGTAGAGCACCCTCAGACCAGGAACCCATAAAGGGATCTTAGGCCAAAGGGTCCCAATCACCTATATAGTAGAATGTAGGGTTTCTATATTAGGAAATAAGTAATATGATTTGGGAAAATATCCCCCATAAGAGTACCTAGGACCCTTTGGGTAAGCAGGACGACAGGACTTCTTAACGAGACCAAAGGAACCCCGTAAACCGAAAGGGTCCAAGTACCTTCTAATCATATACTCTCCTACATATTCACCTACATAACTACTATCCTAAACCCAAGTACCTTATTCTCGGGTCCCTTGGATTTTTAGGGAAGCTAGGAAACCCGAAACTACTGTTGATGATAAAATCCCGCATTACCTCAAGGACCCTAAACTATGGGAATTATGGTATATATTCCTCATTATGGGATTTGTATCATCAGCCGTAGGAAGCCTGAAACTAAGAGCGTAAACTGAGGCCACCGTTTGGTCGGCCTGGTGGTCTGTCGCCAAAGAGCTGAGGCACGATCGAGCCGGGGAGCCGTGACATCGTGGTCTCTAAACTTGGCGTTGTTGAGGGTTTAGGGTTTAGCAATTTTAGGAACCCTCAACCCTAAACCCTAACCCTAAACCCTAAACCCTAAACCCTACCAAACTGGCGCGGCACCCTTTTCCCGCAAAGGACCTAAAAAAGAGATCCTCATTTAGAGAACTACCCATCCCTAACCCC